ATAAAGATGACTGTTTTCTTTTATAGCGTCATTACTTGTAACATTATTTCACACAGTAGAGCTTTTCTTTGAATAAGAGTAGATACTTGTATCTTGCATGTTTTAACCAACGAAACCATGATAGAAAATGTGCTGATGTAAGTTGATCGATACCTCTATACTTACTTCTTGTCCTGAAATTCTCACACGCATTCATATATATGTATACTGCACTGTCATTAGAGTGTTGTGCCAAAAACGTCCGTCTGTTTTAGAGACCCTCTTATTAAATATATTTTTATTAGCGAATTTCATCTGTTTCAGATTGAAAAGAAGTTCGTCAATAGACTGAATGTCTTCGACACGATCGAAACGTTATTGTGTCAATTGCAACAAAGATGCAACTGTCATTTGTTCCAGATGTTATAGAACATTTTGTCTTAGTCATATAAAGGAGCATCAGACAATGCTTGACGAGGAATTCGATTCATTGGCTGCCCGCCACGATGATATTGCCAGAAAGCTTGAGAACTATTGCGCAAATGATCAATCGAATGATTGTTTGTGTGAAATCGACTTGTGGGAACAAGAAGAAAGTGCGAGTATTAAAGCAATAGCGGCTGATATGCGGAACAAAGTGATCAAGATTGTCGAAATGCGTCTGAGCACGGCAACAGAGAAATTAGGGTCGTTAACAGGTAAAATTAATGAAGCACGTCGAGACAAGAACAATTTTGACGACACTGAATTGAAACTATGGGAAAAGCAGTTGAACATTATCAAGAAACTAACAGAATTTAAAGTTACTATTACAAAGTTTAAATGTGGGGTTGAAATGCTAATTACTGGAGAAAGAACAGAAAACAACACGTCTTCTTTAGATGCCGATCAACGCCGTAGTGATCCCATACCAATTACCAGTCATCCGCAACTTCAAACCGTCTATGATAATCATACAAATCCTGAAATAATACCGAGGACGACAAACAACGTCATACCTACACATAATATGCAATCAGACCAAATGCGAAACTTAGTGCTGTCAGCGGACATCGAATCGAATGAAGGGCCTGAAGAAACCGTACATATCACAAATGAAAGACCAAGAGCTACAGCGCTTCGACGTCATGCTGCAGAAATCCCATTTGAACATAGAATGTTCTATCCTCTTCGTTGGCGTGTTGACTAGTAAGAATCACAAAGGAGATGAATCATACGAATTACATCGAATATATTAAGATATAAATGTTCTCCTTTGTTAACACAGTGTAAAATAATTGGTTGTTGCCAACGTGTTAAAAATTTTTTGAGAATTATAAGTACGTCCGTTAGAATTATACCAATAAATAAAGCTTTAAGTACATTTTTGTTGTATTCAATAAGTGATTGAGAAGAAAACAAATTTAAATTTAACACATCAGTTAATTTATGAGGTTATGTAATTTCTAATGCAGAATAAAACTTGTTTCATTTTCATTGATTTTCATTTAATGAATCTGTCTCCTAATTTCATTGTAATATCCGTATATAAGTACATCGTGATGATATTGTTCGAAGTAAAAATGTTTGATCACCATTTCTTATAATTCATGAGTACATAAAAGTACACATTATCTTGATGACATTTTATGTTAATCGTGTTTGTTGATGTTGTGATTTAAAGAAATTTTTTTCTTTACATAGCATAACGCAAAACTACAATTCTCTCAATCGGGCCTGCATACGACCCCCTCTAACTTTGTCCGATCGGGCTGAAATTTTTACCACAGATACTTGAAAGTATTCTCCAGAGGTAGAATCAGCCGTTTTCGTTTTGAACCTTCGTATCCGGATCTATAGGGTTGTGAAAACCAAGACCCGGATTTTGGATCCGAACCTTTCGGTATTTCTCTCATAAAAAAAAGAAAGCGAGATTTTTAAAAAAGCTCAAAACTACCTTTGAGACATAGTCTTAGGTATCTCCAAAAAAATTTTCAGCACAGTCGGATAAAATTTGATGGGGGTCGTAATGTGGCCCGATGCGAACCTATGGAAAACTAGAGTTTTCACAAAGACATCACAAAAACCCTTTTTAAAACTTTTTTCCTCAAACATGTATAAGCTTATTTTAGGTGCTCTAACTGCGGTAAAAATTTCAGGCGGATCGGTTGTACCCTCTTGGAGAACCAGAAATGTTCAAAAAAGAGGGAGGGATGTACCCTTAATAAAAACTCTCGATATATTGACATTTGCTAAAGCTCTTTCTCACTGTGTTATGACACTCATTCTTATCACACATGCATATTATTCTTCATGGTTTCATCCTGCTGAAGTCATTGTTTGACCATCGACAATCAGATACAAATCGTCCTGGAGACTATTCTCATCCTTGCAAAAGACAAAGGGACAGCTCTGTTAAGGATTTTCATTAGGGTGTGGGTGTGAGGTAATAGAATGAACACGAACACGGGCCCACACCCACCCACACCCGCACCGACACCCACACCCACATCATTAATACATTTGATGTTGATTGGCATTTATCAATGTAGTTGGTATCACCAAATAACGTTTTATTAATAGTTCAAAACTGCATATATCGGGTAGTTTGGTCTGACAACAATGTTGATGTATGTTACGGTTTTAATTATTATTCTATGTGAGACTTCTTATTTTTTTCTGATTGATATTGTTAATCGGAACTGGAAACACATTGAATATTTTTTTTTCTCGGATATATTGAATTGAAAGAAAAGAAAAGCCATCATCTTTAAGTTGAGTATAAAAATCGAAAAATATGAATCTTTTTACATTTACAGACAGTAAATATACACACACAATGAACAAGTCAATGATGAATTATTAAGTGCACTCTACAGCAGAACAATTTTATTTCAAGTGATAAAATCTTGTTTGATGTCTTTGATTTCAACTAATGTATTTTATTTAAAGAAATTATTTAATATCTAATCAGTATCAGTTGTGTTATTCTCAAAGAAAGACAAGTGAAATTTCATAGAATTCAAACTACAATTGAAGTACGCATCTCTAAAGTCACGCTTTTATTTCTTAACATTATGGCATACATATAGAGTACGGTCGAACTGAATACAAAAAATCAGATATTTCTCAAAAACAAATATGACAAAAAAAGACAGAAATTTGTAATCTGATTGATAAAAAGAAAGTTTGTCCTGTAAAAAGCCGAGTTAAAATCTTTGATATCTTTGTACCACTAGGTTCTAGACGGATCCAAAAAGGATATCTGGTGCATATGTACACTTTTTGCTTGAAGAAACGACTAAGTGCTTACCAAATAGAATTAAACATGAAATCGATTCAGCAAAACGATAAATCTTGTGTGAAACATTTAGCTAAGAAACATGATAGATTTTGACAAGACTTGCAACGAAATCTTATATGGATCTTGAGTAGTTTTCAATGTTTTTAAGATCATAATCCTGCTAGGATTTCTAACAGAATAATTTACGATTTTTTAAAAGGACATTTGCAGGATTTAAAAAAACAAACAGTAGAAGAGAAATGAACACATAGCGTATTAGTTTCTAAATCAACCATTGATAAGTCTATCAACTAGCGTGTCTGGCCTGTACCATGCTTTCAAAACATGTCTTCACTCGTCGACATCTTAAATCTACTTGCAATCACTGTCTCTTGTTTGAATTTCACTATTTTTAGGAGAAAAATTGAATAGAATCATTTAGTTTTATTTTCCTTCATTAATTATGTCGATAGTTTTACACATTTTATAAGAAAAATGAAAAAATTTAATTAAGTTTACTTTTCTTTTTCTTTATTTACTTATCTTGATATTTTTTGTGCATGTCCTAAAAAACAAAGCGAATAAGTTCATTTAGTTTTGTTTTCCTCGATTAATTATGCTGATAGTTTTCCTAACATCTTATAAAAGAAATACAAAAAGTTACCTTAGTTTACTTTTCTTTTTCTTTATTTACGCTTTTTCGGATAGTGCTTGCTCATTTTGTAAGAGAAATCAAATCAAACAGTTAATGTTACTTTAGTTTTCTTCATCGAGTTATTTCAATAGTTGCTCATTATGCTAAGAGTAAAATTACATATCTTAGTTAAGTTTAATTTTCTTTCTATCATTTACCTTCTTAATAGTTAGTCAGCATTTTATGAACGAAAGTAGAATAAAAGAATTCATTCAATATTTTATGGGGCAGATAGAATGCAACGGTTCAGTTTAGTTATATATTTGTTCATCTGTCGTATTACTGCACTTGAACAATGATTGAGTGCTATGAGATTTTCGACTTTTTCAGTACTTTAAAGATCAGTTAGATATAACTCTATCATAAATCTTGGAGATTTCACAAAATAAACGTTTCCGTTAACCGTTTCAGCAGCCATATGCAGGCTTATGATGATCTTGAACGCTTCTTTAGACAGCATCATATAGAATTGGTGGCGATTAATGATCTCCATGAATCCTTTGAGATGATCCTTATGAACTTTTCTATACCCACTTAGGAATGATTTATGAAAGTACAAGTTACAATAAACGGTTTTGAGAGCTAATAAATATTATAAGTCTTCCACACACCTTTTCATATACCATTTTTAAATGATAAGATTTTAGTATTTTACGGTTCTTTTTATAGGGTAACGTATTAGGCAAGGTAATCAGAATAGTTCTACATAGCCGTATGAATGAATATTGCTTTATACAGCACTATCAGTTCGCATCCGCTGGTTTCGCTTCAAGACAACTATGAAAAATATAACAGGCTATTAGAAATATATCAATAGACAAAACTTGCGAGAACGAAACAGAATTGACGTCATATCATATGAGTTCTTCTTAAGATGTAGCTCGATATATTTATCTCTGCAGAATGTTCACCAACTCTTCATATCATTCCCATATCATTTAGCAATACTCATTATCTATTTGTACTTCTCGATATTTTCTTCCATTCTTCGGCACTTTTCAGAACCTATGGACTTATAAGCATTGTGCTGTTGTAGTTTTCTTATTGTTTATGAAAACAGAATATATGTTACCTGTCTATCTGATCCAAGGCAAAACTCCTCGTCTAAGTATATCAAATAATAATCAACGTCGATTGTCGATCGTTTCGAAACACTTTGATAATGAATATCAAAATCAACAGCAAGTTCAAATTATAGGTTCTGAGTTATCACAACCACTTTCTAATGCTGATGGTAGTACTAATCGACGTCGACTAACGCAGATTATTTCTCTTGTTGATGATAATAATAATAAAGAAAATGTTGTCAAACTAAAAGGTCGTTATCTCTTATTATTTATTGTCGAACCAATTCTCATTGGTTGTCTTCTTTTTCCACTGTTGGTTCTTTTCTGGGATTGTGGATGGAATCTCACTGTTACTATGCTTAATTCATTGAATGGCTTTCCATTAACATATAATCTCGATGGACAGAATTATACTGATGATGTATATGGTAATTATTCACCTCAATCATTAATCGTTCCCTATGTGATTGTTGAAATTTTACTACTTATTTTCTATCTTGGTCAAGATCTATTTTATGATTTCTTTAAACGACAACATACTCTTATTGAAATGATTCTTTTGAAAATTCATATGTTAATTTTGTCATTTATGTATATTGTTCAATGGGAAATGATTTGGACTATTTTGGATCAATATACTCCTCAAGAGTGGACATTTACTATGATTCTATCGTTGGCATCGCTTTTCGTATTGATTATTATCACTGGAACTTTATCGGATTTAGTTTGTTCACCATTTGTTGTCAGTTATGATTCGATTGAATATTGTGTTCGATTTGAATGTCCACTTGTGACAGAACATGTAAGTATTTTCTTGTCAAAAAAACAAACACCTATATTGATATATATGATCTATTTTCAAAGATGGATCGATGGAAAATCAATTTGATCAATTTTATATTGTACGAATTTATTATTTCTAACATCACAATTATTGGATGGCATGGTTTTTATCTTATTCTTGATCAATATTTGTATTCTGATGATACGATTAAATCAGCTTGGATCTGTTTAATGATTGGTTATCCTCTTTATTTTCCATTGATGTATTGTCAACATTTCTTGGCAAATTTCAATTTGAAATATGAATTTTGGACAATTTTTTCAGCTAACTTTCCGCAATTTTATCGAAACATTTTTCATGGATTAGCCTTTGCTTCATGTCTATTTCTTTGGCGTGGCTTTTGGGTTCTATATGACTCTTATCTTCTAATCTTTGAAAAATATTATGAGACGTATTTGTTAATATCTTTACTCTCATTTGGATTCTTATCCGTAATACAAACATTTTCATCAATGAATGGTCCATTGAGTACTATGGAAGATAATTATCGTTTCTTTCCTGTCTATCCGCATTGCTATATTTCAAAAGTCGTATACAAGTTGTCTCAAGTGTCATGTTTCCGATTGAATAACACAACTAGAACTACAAGAGTTTTTCCTATTGAAAATTAAAACAAAAACAAACAGAATGATGATCTAACATATATGTTTATGTATATATAGTTTTATCTTACTAACAGAATCCATGCAGTCAGAAATGTGTAAAAAAAATCGCAAGAAAAATTGATGATTTTCTGCTATACTTCAACTGCACTATGATAATTATTTAGAAAACATTTTTCTTCATTTTCCATTACAAAATATATTAAGACTTGTGATTCCGGACATGTTTGATTGTGTTCAATGTGCTTATGTCAACAACGTTCTCATGCATTTTGATATATGATTAGTTTAGAGTATCGCTTTATTCATCATTTTAAAACTGAATAGTTTCAATTAAAATAATATTTTGATTAAAACTAGAGAAGACACGGTACAATACACATAACTTGATATTGCAAGCAATAATAATTTAAAAGAACTTCTTAGTAATAAGTAACAGATCTCAGATAAAATATCAGTTCATAGAAACTCAACGGTTAAAAAATAAAAAAAAATTGTCGTGCAATTTCATTCCCTTCTAAAGAATGGATTCATTCCCATGTGTGTATCAATAATCGACTGGCAGAATTTGCGTGAAATGGTTTTTTTTTATCTTTAAAGTAGCATGAAAAGTCTTATAAGAAAAACAAAACGGACGTGATTGTCAATATGTGATAAAAAGAGCTTCATCCCATCTGCGCTCTGATGTCACTCTGCTTGAAATACAATACAAATAATTGATTTATCTTCTTAAATCACGTGAATTTCTTAAATTTTGTTTTAATTTTTATCTAGCTCCTTCATATTTATCGTTAAACGACGAGCTTTGATTTTATTTGTTGAATTTTACGATCTATATTCTTCGAAAAAAAAAAAAAGAAAAATATTCTATAAGAATTTATTAGAAATCAAAAACATCGAAGTTCTTCAAGCTTTAGATAAATGTTCTAGAATTGTTAAAAGTACATCAAGATCTATTAATCAAACCATTTAATAATGAATTTTGTGTTAATTGAAAATCACTATAAACATTTAAAATATTATTTACTACTAAAAGAATAAAATTTTAATTCATCCAAAATGTTTTTGTTTTTACATGTTTTCTTTTTCCATGAAATATTCCATTTAATGTTTACCAGCAATGATTAAGACTTATTATTCGAACATGCATTTCTATGTTCAAGCAATTATTAAATAAGATGCCGGCTATGAAAATTTCGAGTAAAACTTTTTTTTCCTGTTTTTTTACATCATTTGATAGAGTGTATCCAGTTAATCATTGAAGTGCTTCCACTAATTCGACGGCAAAGAAACAAAGAGATATAACAAGGAAATTGTCGCGAATGTGGTGGTCAATGCCATGCTATATAGACAGCTGATATAAGATGAGCACAAGCGAATGAAAGAGAAACTTTCAAACTCCAACACATATTTATTATTTGTTTATCAATAATAAAAGAAAAATTATGCAAATGATTTATACTTGAATGACAATAATATTATAATTCAAAGGTGGTTAGGTGCAAAACGTAAATATACTCATCCATATATAACCTACGTGTAAAAAGTATTGGTACAAAAGTTTTGTTCGATTTTTCGACCACTTGAAGGTCTCAAGACAGACTCAAAAGTAGTCAGTTAGAAAGATAATTTCATGTTCTTTCTAAATATTTATTCAGAATTTTACTTTGACTTGAACTTGATTCATTAGGAGCAGATATTTGATGGGAACCAAAAACGACGTTTGTACAAAATATTCCATGCAGGCCATTGCATTCTCAGTGGCTATTGTATTCAACATGAATGGTAGATGTGGTGTTAGTGTAGATCATTATTTACTCACCATCACATCAACTCAGATTCACACCACCCTTGTTTCTTTTCATTCATCTGAGCTGATTTTTGAATTGTAGAATAGAATAAACATTTTTCTATCTACTCATGTGACTTTCATCTAAAATTGACTGATTTTGAACGAATAATAGCCCTTATACGAAGATCAACTTCAGATTTCTTCTTGTTCTGCCTACCTTCTTATTGTATCATTCCAGGAAAATTGTATGGATTAGTCAGAAAAAAAGTTTTTTTCTTTTGGTGCTGAAAATACCACTGTTCCGGTTGAAACTCATATCCTTCGAGTCGTCACACTGAGCTCTACCAATGATGACTCTTTTATGAAATTTAGACGTCATCTTCGCTTCTCTTTTTGAGTTATAATCGAACGGTAGATGTGATGGAATTAGAACATGTATCTCTGTTCCATCATTCTAGCTGTTTTTCTTTTCTAATTCCATCACGTAACAGAAAACGAACATACAAATTTATTTTGATTTATTTCGCTATATGTTACAGTGAACGCCATTATTTAAACATTTTTACTTTAATTCAAAGTCAACATAGTGGTTTGATGATAATGTTTCGATGGATAATTTTCGGATTTTTTTATTCAGATGATGAGATATGACATCGATTAATATCAAGAAATCTTGTAGCAAATGTGACAAAAATGAAGATGTTGCCACATATTATTGATGTCAACAATGGTTTTGTACAATTCACTTCCATGAACATCGACAGAAACTTGTCATACAAATCGATCAAGATGTTCAAGAGCATAATCTTCTTCAACGAGATTCTATTCAAGCGAACGTTGCACATCTTTATGTCTGTTGCATTAATGAATAGGAACAAGAATCGACTAGGAAAATTCAAGTAACAGTAGAAAAAGCTTGGATATATCATTCAAGGAACTAATTGAATACATCGTTCAACTAGATAACTAATGAATTGTGCTCGAGTCATCAATTAGATAATAATACAGAAATTGATTCAAAGAAATGAACTGAACAATTAGAAGAACTGGAAAAGATGCTTTAAGAACCAAGAACTATTGACATCATTGATGATGATCACACACCATCAATCATTCGTATTATTCAGCTAAAAAAGCCTGAAATCACTCATCGATCAAATAGAGTCTTAGAAGTGACTGTCATTATGATAAAGTCGAGTAAGTACTCTACAGATCGGAAATTCCAAGATATTTGAGATCTATATTGATACTAAAGGCTGATGAAACCGTCCTCTTGATCCCGATCGGAGGTTTAAAAGAATTTTTCTGAGTCGAGCTCGACGTTAAGGTTGAGATTCTGGGATTTAACTAGTGTTGCGCAAGTGACATGCAGATCTGGGTGTTAGTGTAGATCTTGTCTTGAATGACACTCAAACACTCGCACGCGCCTATATTCATATAGACCTGTGACAACTCACAATTCTCAAAACTGGTTCGTTTTCTTCGAGAACAAAGTCCAATGACCAGTCCTTTTTTCCAAAATACTTATTTTATCAATAATAAAGAACTGATCATCAGTAGCCGTTCTTTAAAAAAAAACTCGATGACCGACATCAGTTCATTGTTTTGATCAGAAACTGTCACAGGTCTATATCCACTTACATCCCACATCTATATCCACCCACACCTTGCAAGTTATCTTTGATGTTGACTATGATGGAATATTAAATGTATCTGCTATTGAAAAATCAACAAATCGAGAGAAAAATATACAAATTCAAAATGATCAAAATTGATTACCACCAGAAAAAATTCAAAATATGATTAAAGATACTGAAAAATATTTAAAAAAAATAAGGTGGTTTACAACATGAACGTATAATGACAAAGAATTCACTTGAATCCTATTGTTATAATATGAAATCAGATGCTAATAATGATCAAATATCATTAAAGATTTCCATGGAAGATAAAACGACAATAAATGAAATATTTTAATCAACATTACACTGAATTGAATTATATTCATCGACTTGAATATAAAAATTGCAAGACACAATGAAATGAATTAAAAAAAATTGTTCATCAATTATGAGTAAACTTTATCGTAAGTAATTTTATATTGATTAATTTAAAGAAATTATTCTATAATTCTTGCCAAAAGTTCTGACACACATAAGAATGACTGTTCGAAATTTTCTTTTCTTACATCGATTAAAGTTTGTATCAGTTTTTTTTTTTTATAAAAACCCGAAGCTTTGCGTCTGCATAGTAGAAAGTGAAGGCTTGACCAATGAACATCGTTACTTTAGATAACAACTTAAATTGGTGTAAGGAAAGAAAATTTCGAACAGCCATTCTTATATGTATTGGAACTGTTGGCGAGGACTGTACATACGCTTCTTTTTCTATTTTAGAAAATGGAAATGATCATAGTACATTGAAATCTAATAGTCATGGTCCAATTATTGAAGAACTTGATTATATAAAGTCAAGAAATATAATCTCTAATTCATAATAGATTCTTCTTCTCTTCATTCGAACAAATTCTGTAAACGAACTAAAGAAAACATAAATATTTTTTTTTTATTATCAATGTCAATAAAATATTTGAAAAGAGAGTCACAAATTCTCTTAATAATAACTAGATTTTATTTCTTTCATGTGAAAAAAATAGCACAGTTTAGAATTATTATAAAATGAAACTACTTTGTAAAACGAATAATACACCATTACTTTGAGAAATTTGATTTGAAATCTAGTTCTATTCGAAATAATAATATATTTGAAAACTTCAAGCAGTCATTACGAATGAAAAGAGCTCTTCAGACATATATTATTTTTAGATAGATTTTTCTATTTGTTCGCAAAATCTAAAACGAGTATTTGATTATACAGAATAGAATCTTGTATCTGCTTTAGATTGTGACAAGCGCTAGACAATTTGCCTATAAATAACCTCTTCTTGTAGTATATGACCATTTTTCTTATTGCATATATTCAGATTAATAACAGGGATAATGAAGAAACTCGTTCTAAAATAGATTTTTTTGTGATTAATCAGCATGTAAAATTCTCTACCATGCGAATTTCGACTTTCTATTATTTGCTAGCATAGATATCAATTCTTTTTGAATATACTTTCTTTCAACATCAGTAGATTGTGAGTAAGAGTTTGGATATGGGCGCTGGTGTTTGTTTATCATGTTACACGCGCATTCCACATCCACACTCTTATGTGATACAAAAGATGATTGTGATCAACATGAAAAGTTTCAACTCTCACAGAATTGTTTTTATTAATGGTTGAATTAAATAGTTTTTGTTCTTGGTGAACAGAGGAGAAAGAGTTGGAGTTTATTCTTTCTTTCATAATGAAAATGTGGATTCAAATGATTTAGTGAAACAAGAACAGATAGAAGAAGAGAATTGACAACAATGGTAATGAGCAGATGAGGTTGTTAGAAGCATTTCATACCTCCATTCCATACGATACGGTCAAATTGTCTAACTAACATTTATTTCATTTTGCTTAATATTATATATATATCTGAATGAATATTCAAATCAATAAAAACTCTAGTCGATTGATATTGAAGCTTCATTTGTGTAATAAAATACTAAAGATCAGAGTTTTACCAAATGCTTTTCAAATTCTAGTCAGACAGTTATTAAAGATCAACAATATGAATATCATTGAACTGTTTTATGAAAAAGCTCTTACTAATTATTTGAGTAAATTCAACTTGATGATATTAACTAAGTTGTAGTGGTAAATAAAAAATATTAATGAGTACTATCAGTAGAAAATATGGTGTGTTATTTTATTGTTCGCTAATATCCTTCTCTTCGCATTATTGTAAACGCTTTTGAGTGACATAATCCTAACCATCTGCATAATAATTTTTTAGAAATATTTTCTTCATAGATTGTTCGTATAATCGTCTTTTAGGTTTCGTTGAAGGATCGTTCTTTTGATTCAATAATAAATACGATATATTTGCATTAATACATGTATTATTATATAATGGTTGTTTCATCAATTGTTTAGATTAAAGAATTTCAAAAATCATCAATAGTTTATTATTTGATGATTACTTTAAAATATATGTTAATAAATCAATATTGAAAAGATGAGATAGAACTATTGTATGTACTACTTGTTATCATTTACTAAAATTAAGTAAATCATTTGTATTTTGATTAGATCAATAAACAGAATGTTTTTTAGCATATGCTATTTTAAATGTAGATAAGAAATCATTTTTTTTAGTGCAATTAATTTGAGAATCGTAACACAATTATGTGACGTCACAAATTTGTCCATGAAATTGCATATAAAACAATGGAACTCGACATTCCAAATTCAAGATTAAAGTGAGAGCTTACTAGAAATGAACAAATTGGTACGAAAACTAAAATAATTGGTCTTGTACACATATTATTGAGCTTCCAAAAATGACAATAATTAGTAATTGAATGAGTTCGAGTATAGCAACACAGTGTTTCTAATATTATAGACCATGCTAGAAAACATAACCATTTCAATTCTATGCTGACAAATTTTTTTTTCTTATAGTTCGTTACAAGATTTGAATTTCTTTTAAATCATGGCGCCTATAAAAAGGTTGTCTCGTCGGCGTTTAAAGCTCACTCTTGTAGATTATATTTTTCTATGAGTTCAGTTGAACGTGATTTTACATTGTTGCTTTCAATAACTTTTATTGATAAATATAAATTAAATAACAATAAGATTTATTACAAATCAATATGTTTAATTCATATTGGTTTTGATGTAATCATCAGGATGTCCATATGATTTTATTACAGAATCTTCTCGTCATCTATACTCTTTTTATAGTGCTGTCATACTTTGTCATGCAATGTGCACTCATACGCACTGCTTTCTAGAAGTTGCCATAACAGTGGCATTACAATTTTTACTTTTGACTGTACGAATAGAACAACAGCACTGCTTTCATTTTACAGTAGAATTCAGCACGTGTGAAGGAACGTAAGCGATTTTTTTTCTTTTAATCTCGTTCTTCAAGAGTTCACAATAATATTTTTTTGTTTTTGTAGTCGAGAAACTTCTCCTCTTATTGATTAGAATCATTATTTATTTTATTTGATGGAATCATCTACTTTTATCAAACAACAATGTAATCTTCTCAAAGAACAAAGAACGTCTTCTACCAATAATCAATTAAAAACTTGTTTGGACAATATAGTTGTCAAACTTAATCAAGACACAATGAAGAATGATGTTACAGTAATACAACAAATTGTTTCATCTATTTCATTTCGTATAAAAAATGATCAAACATTTTACCAAGCAAAATTTCTTAATCATGAATTGTTTTTGTTCATTCGTGATTATTATCTTGATATTCTGCGTCGATGGCGAACTGGTCAAATACTCGATTCAATATCTGGTCAAGTTTTCACACAAATAGCTATTCTATTTGCTGAACTTTGTTTACATGTTGTCGATGATGATATTGATCCATTGAAACAACTCTTAATTCATGTATCTTTGATTGATGAAATTCATGCATGTCTCAAGGACATCGCTACACAAGGTAAACATTTGCAGGATCAACAAATAGAAGCAATTGATTATATTCTTCGAGCAATTCATTATCTTCAGAAAGGTCGAACAGATATTCAGAGTATACCAATATTAGTTGAACTACTCGATAGTGTTGTTGATTGTGTATGCTCAAATTATTTCATTGATATGTTTAAACAAATAGCTGAATTAGAAAAACTCAATGAAGTACAAACATTTTTACTCGATACTTGTACTAATTACATATCTTGGCACAATGGTAATCATTATAATAAAACTTGTGTAGCCGTTCGAACTGCTCAATTAAATAGTTTTACTTGTTGGTTTCAAACTCAGCTTTTATCTTATAAAAAATTGAGTAGAGTAGCTATTAAAGTTATTGGTCAATTTTGTATTACATTAATCGGTGGAAATGCTAGCGATGAAGAACTATTTCCTCAATCAATTCGTGAAGATTATTGTACAATGATCGATCAATTATCTTCCATATTAAATACAATAATGGAATGTAAAACAATGGATGACATAACAAAAGATTTAATAAGAGTTCTCGTTCAAAATTTGTATTCTTTGACAATGACAAATGATTTACGAACATATATAAAAAATAAACATATTGTTCCATTATTATTAAAAGTAGCTACTATTGAAGATGAAATCATACAATTTCATATTTATCGCATATTAGCTTCAATTATGACAGAAGACGATATCAAAACATTAAAAAATTCGACACAAATTGCCATTGTTTTTCTTAGATTTTTTACTAATCTTATCGATGATTCCAGTAGGATACCACGATTCCATAATTTACTTCGTAGTCTCAAGAGTAAGTTGAATTTTGATTTGTTCATCGAAAATCAGTAGAAAAAAAAAACAAACACATTTGAATTGTAGAAAATTATTCGAGTTTCTTATTTAGTCTTGATTCAACATGATCAAATAAAAGAAGAATTAACAAAACAAGGAATCTTAACTCTTCTTCTTCGTTGTGTAACCGAATCAAAATTTGATCCTATCAAAGTGCAACTATCAGCATTAGAAATTCTTCTTGCTCTAACATTCAATCATAATGCTGCATGTCAACTCAAAGATAATTCTCAATTCATTTCAAATTTGAAAACATTGCTTATCTCATCTACTGAACAAGATCTACAGAGAGTCGCTGAAAATCTCCTGTGGAAACTGGAAAAAGAAGAAACAATTAACACAAAATCGGATGAAACATCGACAAAATCTGATATTACTATTAAAAAATATGATATTATGTTGAGTTATTCACATAGTGATAAGGATTTATGTTATCGTATTCATGATTGTCTTGTCAAAGATAATTTTCGAGTATGGATTGATCGATATGAAATACATGGACAAACAATGGTTGCCATTGCTACTGCTATTGAAAATTCAGAATTTGTATTTTTATGCATGTCAGATGCATACAAACAAAGTGCTTATTGTCAATCTGAAGCTCATTATGCTTTCGAACGCCAATGTTATTTGATTCCATTGATGATGAAACCAGGTTATCGACCAGATGGATGGTTAGGAATTATTGCTAGTGGAAAGATCTATATCGATTTTCCTAAACTTGGTTTCGATATTGCCTATAAAAATTTGAAAAATGAAATGATTCGATATCGAACAAGTCAAGCTCAATCGAATTCAACAAAAAAATCGATTGAACATGGCTTAGATATGGAAATAATAAATCTACCTGTCAAATCATATGAATATCATTCATTAGTTAGGTGAGTTATCAGCAAATATTGACTATATGAAAAACTTCTGATTCACTCAAATAAATATTATCGAAGAAAAGTTTAGAATAACTTAGACGGAAAAACAAAACATTTCTTAGCAAAAAAATAATTTATTTTAGAAGTTTTAAAATGAATATCTACTCGCATATACCAGGAAAGAATCGATGTCTTGATAAAAATTACTTTTTTTTGAAATTTTCAATATTTTTCTCTTATTCATACTGAATCGTTTTGATCAACTAAATGCATGATTAGATAGAGAAAGAAATTTATTTTCAGAGATTATCCACATTGTATTAATCAATGGACAACAACTCATGTTCAATCATTTCTTATCAACGAAAAATTCGAATGTCTTCTTCCAGTTTTGGGAAATATGGATGGATATCTTCTTTATGAAACTCATAAAAGATGCAAAATACATTGGGATCTAATGTTTCAAACATTTAAAGCTGAAGTAGCAGCAGCTGATGGTCAACAAAAACTTCTAACAATTGACACTTACATACGTTTTCTTCATGCCATCGAAAAATATATACCAATCACACCCAATGACAGTTACAAACCTTCATCTCCGACGTCTATATTTTGTACTCTACTATAAACAACTATTAATTTTCAAGAATAAATAAAGTATATGCAACAACAAAATCATTGTTAGGTGTTTCAAATCTACTGTAAGAATATTGGTGTATAAAAGCTTAGTTTTTGTGGTTTTTTTGTACTCTAAAAGAAATTTACTGTGTTTTGAATCTTTTTGAGGCTGTCGATTGATAGCATAAGTCGATTCTAACATCCACATCCACATATCAAGATCGTAGACGATAGAAACCCAGAAAGAAAATTTGACAAAATAATTGATTCTTATTCACTAATGAATTTGTTTTTCCTGAAAATTCTTTTTTATGTAATATAGTATCAGTAATATGATTTTAATTTTACTTTCGACATTTATGATCAGATGAAATTAGGTAGCTGATAAATAGATTTGGAACAAATTATTTATGTTATTTTTTAGAATTGTGAAATTTTTAAAAAGCATAAAAGTCTTACCGAAAAAAAAATGAGAAATAATTTTGACTCTAATTGACACAATTTTCTTTATAATTTTTAGAAAATTTTACATCTCATGAATAAAATATTGTAGGAAATATTAGAGTTACTTGTGTATATGCAATTATCCTTTAGATGCATGTAAGAATAATATATTTGTTATTGTATGTTGTTGCGTGGCATTCTCAATTGGTACAATGCTCTATATTTTTTATTTCCCTAGCATCTTCCGTCTCAAATGCAGAAGAACTTTGTAGTCATCAGTTTCCAGAACCATGGAGTTAATGATTGTATTGAGCTTCACCATACTCCCAATACATCATGTATGACCCATCATCATATCGTTTTGCTACTTAATCGAAATTTTCTGAGTAGGTTCAGAAGAATCGACTAAAAGCAATAGCTATAGAAGTTCACATCAATACTCTATTCAAGGTTAATTAGAATTTATTTTTCATATTGCTACACTTTTCACTTTCTAGAAAGCGACTCATTCGGAAATGTTTGTCCATCGATTGTAATCATCAAGGTTTTCTTCGATTTTGACGATGGCTCATATTTTTTCGTCAATAATTTTTTATTTTACAAGATATCATGTTGTTGTTTGATTGTATGTTTTACGTAATATTCGATTTTTTTTCTATTATGGAAAGTAGAAATAGTAAAAGTTTGCAAAGTATGTGTTTAAAAGAACCAAGTTGCAATGATTACGAAACATCATATTAAAAGTTGAAGTAGGAAATGTAATTGATGTGACAGAGCCTATTTCTGTCACGATGTTCTGAGACAATGCACTGATACGTGGCGCCATCCATACATTTTAAGAGAATAGCAGATGAAATATTTTACTCAGATATTCCTTCTACTCTGCTGAGTCTAAATATATAATAATCTTCACAAGTACATCAATTGAAAACTTTATCAATTATCATTAGTGTATTTTAGAAATAATAGGTCTAAAATGAACCTATCCTATGCATTAGCCAGTAGATCAACACTGTTTTTAATAGCAAGGACCCTCAATTATAGCCAAGGACTCAAGATTCTGATGATCTTCGATTGGCACTAGATTGTATACTTTGCTGATAAAAACAAAGTATCAAGTGCACATTTTTTTGAGAATTATTGACATTCTGCTTCACGTTGCATAGAATATTCGAAACGTTTAATTTTTTCGTTAATTGACATACATTGTATGCTCTGACGTTTTCAGACTAATAATAAATGAACTTTTAAAAAATGAAAATTACTAAGAGATGAAATCACATCTTTAACATTCTCCGCTATTTGTCATGTCTGTTTTCTTTTCGGATTAAATGAACAGAAAGTAAACAGAATTTATTGAGTTTTGAAAAAAAATCAAAAATCATCAGCCAGTGTTTTATTGGTGTATGAAAATCAATAATAAAATTCTTCTTCATCATCATCTATATTCAATTCCATTCCATCATCTATGCAACAATGACAGAAATTGAAATTATTTCAATTTGAACATCGATAGGATTCAAGTGCTTAGGGCGTCCGAGTAACAGTTATTTTCTTTTGCCCAGAGTTATATAGATACAGATTCATCGACTCTTTACTTCTTGAGCCTATAGTAAAGAGCCTTTCATAAAAACCAGAATTCGACTTTTCCTTTGAACTTAGTAGTAATCAATACATGAAACATTTCTTTCTTTCATCAATTTCAAGCAGTTCACGTTTTGGAATCTTTGTGATACTTTCTTTGTAAAATCAGAGTGTCATTTTTCACTTTGCTTTTACAAATGACACACTATTTGACTCTTTGTTTTAGATTTCTATTAAAAAAGCTCTAGATCAATTGTATTTGAAAGAAAGAAAGAAATCACGTTGTAGTGATGATAATCATATTGTTCGTTTTTGACTCTATGTCTTTTTCATGCGGATTAACAGCATGTTGATCTGTTAAACAATAGGATAATCGGCTCTTCTAACTCTTATTATAGAAAATTTCAGATTTGAGACAAAATGTCTGGTAGCAGTACGTCAGCCGGAGATGTCTTATTATCTAAAGCCTTTGTTGTGCATGAAATAAATGGTCAATTTCAATTGTGGGATTTACCTCGACGTCCTATAAATCCTGACGATGTTCTCATTCGAATTTTATATTGCGGTATGTGTCATGGGTAAGACTTTCGTTCTGTTTTCTGTTAGTTTTAAATAATCTTTTAGTGATATCCATGCGGTGAAAAATGAATGGAAGAATAGCAAGTATCCAATGGTACCCGGCCATGAAATAGTAGGTATTGTTGAAAAAGTAGGTGATCAAGTAACTAAAGTCAAGCAAGGTGATCATGTTGGAGTCGGATTCATTGTTAATTCCTGCCGTCAATGCAATCAATGTAAATATTTATCTCTTATTCATGAAATTGATTCTAATATATCTGTAGGCAAGAAGAATCTTGAACAACATTGCACTGAAGGTTGTGTGGGAACATTTAACAGTACCGAAATGGACAAAAAGACGACAACATATGGAGGTATTCAACTCGTAGATGACAGTTATAATCAAGTAAAACCTCTTATTGTGATTATATTGTACTCCTTCAAATCTATTTCTCCTTAATAAAGAAGAAATAGTTCTTATTCTAGTATAGTTAAGTAGAGCAAACTTTTTTTAATATTAATTTCAAAGTTCTCTTCTTCAATGAATAAACACATGAATGGAAAATATATGTACATAGATTAGATTGATGAAGAAGTTATTAATAATGAATCAGTTCATATTCGATAATCAATTGACTGATACTGACCTTACTCAATACTTTTTTGAGGTTCTCTTCATCATTAATGAGAGAGAGATTCATTTATATCTTCTTTTTGGCAGGTTATTCAAATTTAATTGTTGTGGTTGAACATTTTGTATTGAAAATTCCCAACAACCTACCTTTGGATAAAGTAGCTCCACTTCTTTGTGCCGGTATTACTGTCTATTCTGCTCTTCGTCAACATAACGTTGGTAAAGATACTCGAATGGGGTAGGTGATCATACTCCAGTGATTTCTGGGAAATAAAGTAATGTTCTCGCTAGTATTGTTGGTTTTGGTGGAGTAGGACATCTAGCCATCAAATACAGCGTAGCAATGGGTGCTGATGTAACGGTCTTCTCAACTTCAAAATCGAAACGTGATGATGCCATTAAATTTGGTGCAAAACAATTCATTTTGTCTACAGATTTTGAGCAAATCAATGCGGCTACGAATAAATTCGACTTAATTATTGATTGCGTTTCGGCAAAACATGATCTTATCCATATATTGAGTACTTTAAGATTCGGAGGTACTTTTTGCATGTGAGTATACAAGATCTATAAGAAATTCTTTGCAAACATACATATTTTCTATAGGATTGGAGCACCGCCGACACCTCTTGAAGTTCCACCATTTTCTCTAATTCAAAAACGCTTGAATGTAACAGGTTCTTTCATTGGTGGAATGAAAGAAACACAAGAAATGCTTGATTTTAGTGGTCAACACAATATAACATGTAAGAATATTATTTCTGGCTTTGTTTCAGTTAGTTTTCATCGAATCTATAGACAATCAGAATATGGATAGATCACATGAGCAATGATTTTTATATCGAACACAAATCGACAGAATTCTTCAAATTAGATGTAGTAAATCATTGTAGTGATATTAAGCTTTGTTTGGTTGAATCGAAAAGAAAGAAAATATTTTGTCTCAAAGTAGAGTTGTGAATTTTATTCTATGTGACTAATTTGACAAGGAGAATACATTCGATCAAGTTTGACAAGTTCGACAAAATTTTCTTCGTGAATCAGATAGTTTTTATTTTAAAATATTTCAAAACTCGAAGATCAACTTGACTAAAATTTTTGGATGAACAGATAAATTACATAGAAATGACAATTTACTTTTTGAAAAATTGAAAAAAAAAATATTGTTTCATTGATAAAATTGAATCTGTTACTTATATTGATTGATTTATGTTTTAGGTGACGTTGAGTTGATCGAAGGATCACCCTCGAATCTTGGCACGGCATTCGATCGAATCCTTAATTCAGATGTCAAATATCGATTTGTCATTGATATGGAAAAGACGTTCAAACAATGAGCATACTTGTTCAATGTGCAACAATCTGACACAAAACGATTTATGAATTTTCTTCACTTAATAATTTAATAAAATATCTTTATGCATTGCTAATACACAGATGTTGTTGAATAGGACGAGCGAGTAGAAGACAAAAAAACCAGTGGTATCGTGCTCTTCACTCTATGAAGCGACTTTCTCATTGGATCAATGAACTTTTCAATGTTTTAGCATGTTATGCTACTTTATCGATAGTTACACTAGACCGTTCTTTCTCCTGATTTGATCGATAAGGAGAAATTTTCAGACTGATCGATTCGATTAATGAATCTTTTTAAATATCAATCATTCAAAATTATCAAAGAATATCAAATTTATGTTAAAGATGATTCGCGTACGTCGCGATTCGATCGTACAAAGTACTCAAATATTTGCGAATGATCTAGAGAGTTCAACATCAACATTCATTAGAAACGAAAAACGATTCAACAAAAGCGGCAGAGGTGGATGTGAGCCTAGATATCGTTCTGTTCTACTCTCACATTAATACCTAAACTTATACTTTACGTCCTTTTACAACTAGTATTTGTTATTCATTAATTTTTTTATAAATCTTACAAGAAAATTCCACCAACAGATTAAAAGCTTTTGTGTTCATATCCTGGCCAAAAGTAGGACCTAATTGTACTCGTTTGATGAGTATTTGCACTAGGACAGAGATTTCTGATAAGAGACAGTCTTGACATTCAGATAAAACCATCGCAGATTGTCGCTGGTCAGTGGAAATCCAGTTATCTATAAAAGAAAATGATCGAAGATATAAATGACAAGTCCAGTTCCGGTTTTCAACAGCTCGATCGAACTACTGACAATGAGAAAAGGCTCGATGGGCATTACACAACATAACTTGTAGCCATCTTGACGCTTTTCAATCAAGATTGGTGCAAATCAAACGTTCACATGCAACATCAACTGCGAACGCCATTGTCTACAACTTTTCTTGCGATCTAAATGCCAAAGATGGGAAGTTTCGAAAGTTTTGAGAAAAAATAATGTTGGTTCTCGTCTGCTCTGAAGCAATCTCAATGATTTTCTCCTTCGATGATCGATTGTACGACATCTTCACTAATCGTCTTTCTATAGAATTTTGCTGTCCTATCGTTTGCTATTATGTGAACGTACATTCTTCATTTAATACAAGGACAATAGTCGTATCCTCTCTAGACTCATTATGAAAGTAAATACATAAATAGTGCTGGTCTAACGAAATTCTCCGTCACATAGTGAAGTTTTTTCGTGGCTCGGACATCCGTCTGCATATCATCGTAGTTCATTCCTAACTTCTTCTCTCCTTCTTTTATATCACGTTAATCTTCTTTTCTCTTCTCTTTCTCTCTCTGAATTGCCATAAATACTCATAATCCTGTATTTTTTCATCAGTCAATAGACTGACGAGCCTTGTTGTCTGTTGCAGTTTGCTAATGCAACTACAAACAATATCGAGATTTCAGTTTTGATCTTTCCCTATTCGTAGTTTTACGTTTGGCTTTTGACTTTCCCCAGGTCGAATTCACCCTGTGGAATCCGATAGAAATTCGCCGGAATTTGTCGGAATCCTAACCACAGGATTCCGACAAGTGGTTCTGGATGTCGGAAAGTGTCGGAGTTTCAGGGATTTCGCAGGATCCTGATTATTCCGACATCCGGAACCTCCTGTCGGAATCCTGTGGCTAGGACGCCGACAACTTCCGACGAGTTCCCGTCGGATCCGTTAAAATCCGGTAATTTTTCCGATATAATCCGATATAATCCGACGTAATCCGACAGTCGGATCGAATCACCTGGGTCGAAGCTTTTCCAGTGGACAACTGATTGTGCCAATTTGAAAATGTTGTTGTTGCTATTTGGTTATGAATAAAGTCTCACAACGAATCAATCATAACAGAAGAGCAAATCTTGTGAGCTCGATCAGACGAGTGCAGATGCGTCACTCGAAATCTTCACTTGAGAATCATGACCAACAGTGATGTTGGATGTTTGATACAAGTTGCAGCAAATCAATCAAGAAGTGACATCAGATTATCGATGTCTTATCAATTCCACTTCTTGCCGCTTCGATACATATTCCTCTCGTTCAATATTTCCTAGACACTTACGCTCTCATATTCATGTCTAGTTTCGTATGTTGTTTCATATAAACGATGCATGATTCGACGATTTTATTGTCGTTGCATACTATTCAAATCAAGAAGCCATTGACAAGATAAAAAAGTTAATTACAGTTCAAAGAAGCAGTATATTTACAGGGGTGGTGCAATGATTACTTCAAGAGAATCTGTTTCTGGCACCAACAAAAGTTTGTAGAATATTTTTTCTGATTTTGACATTTTAACTAATTGTCATCAGCAGATACAGTAAGTTGAATGTTTAAGCGAATATCAGCATGATGTGTGTCATCGAAGCCTTATTTATAACAATCTTTTTTATCTTTTACTCATTGTTAGATATAGAAAGAGAATATAAACACCATCAAAACTACTGTTCAGAATTTTCTAGCTAATTGACGTCAAGTTGACTCGATTTTACCACATTATTTGCTCTTCGTATTGACTTCTGCTCGTTCTTCTGCCTAAACGATAGAAACTATTTCGATTGAATTTCTATGAGTCTTCCATTTTACTCCTATAACTCTCTTTTGATTATCACGTATATGAACTTCTAACTCAAGAAGTTTGTACAGATAGAATATCATTATAGTTATTCCAAGGAGACCCAGCAATCGTTCCATAAATTTTATTTATCATTTTTTCTTGCTGTATGTCTATTCGTCTAGAACAGAACCGAATTAGTAAAAGAATTAATTTCACATATGAATTCAATTATCAGCATGTTATCTTAATGAACTAGCAGTTTTATTTAATTTAAGAGCACAAGACAAATCTTTAATCTGCTTTAAAATAGAGAACGCTAGTGACAGAAAGTCGTAAATCACTCCTACTTGATTTATGTAGTTTACTGGCTTATACATGCGATTTTCTATATTCCGAGGGTAAAAGCTATCAAATTATTTTTTAGATAGGACAAACGTGCAAGTGAGAATCAATAGTGTTATTCAAGTCACTAGCAAAACACGCCGGTCATTGAAAATGTCGTCGTCAGCTGCTAATACTCTATTTTATGCATCGAAGCAAATTACAATCTATACATTCTTTCCTATTCTGTTTCTTGGACTCGTTGGTAATATGCTTAACATTGTTGTTTTTACCAAATACAAACAGTTTCGGCATAACCAATGTGCATTCTATCTCATTGTTGAGTCGATCATTGACTGTGGTCAACTTTTTTTTGGTTATACTACACGTAGTGTCCTCACCATCTTTGCTTATGATCCATCACAGACGTCACTTTTTTGGTGCAAATTGAAGCCAGCAATGTCCACGATCACTGGACTTATACCTTTAACAACAATATGTTTCACAGCCTTTGATCAATACTTAGCAACAAGCTATCATGTTAGTCTCAGACAAATGAGCACACTTAAATTAGCTCAATTACTCACTTGTATCAATATTGTGATATGGGTCTTACATGGCATTCCGGTTTTTATATCATTTCGAATTGAACAATCGGCTGGCTGTAACATATACAATACGGACTTTTCACGCTACTATTCATATTTTTACTTATTAATTCTTGTCGGTATTTTACCAATGTTTATCTCATTTACATTCAGTGTATTGGCCTATCAAAATGTACGTCATGTTATACGACGTCATGTACCAATTGTTCGACGACGACTCGATCAACAACTTACTGCTATGGTTCTTGTTCGAGTCGCTTTTTTGGTGGCCACTACTATGCCCTATGTAATTCATCGTTTATTGATACTCAATAAAGTCATAGATTCGAATAATCCTCTTTCTGCAGCAATTAGTCAGCTCTTCATCGCCGTTATAAGTGCAATGTACTATTCAAATTACGGAGTATGCAAGTTTCTTTCATTTGTACTAATTACTAAGTTTCATTGTAGGGCACATTTTACATCTTTCTACTGACATCGAGTCGATTTTGTCGTCAAGTTCATTTTGTACTCGTGAAAAAATTCTGGAGAAAATGTTACAACCTCCTAGGAAGAGCACCATTACACAATTCAGTTGCTCCTATATCTCAAGACTCGAATCTTGACATGGACTAATTGAAGAAGAACATGCTATTATTAATGCAAAAAAGCACCAATTATACGCAACCCATGTACTTTCTTTGAATAAATGTTGTGATGACGTATCTGATTAACACAATTATTTCATATTTATAATCGTCCAGTAAAGCACATTCAGTGTGATTGTGTGACGGAAGAGCCGTGAATAGTAGTTGAAATCAACATTATGATAGCATGAATGTTAATATTCATGACAACTCATAGTTCTCTAGTCTTCGCATTAGTTTTAGATTGACTTTGTCTGTATAGCAAATATAACAGATCATTCGTCAGCAACGGCTG